TGAAAGACATCAAAAAGACCTTTGAGGGGAATAAGATGACAATGAGAAGTTGAAAGGAATTATATTATCCGATAAGCAGCTTATTGGTTCTGAACCCATAAAGAGTTTTGGGGAATTAATAAAGCAAACATTATTTGAAAGTTCAAAGAGGTAATACGGATTAATCATTTGAGACAAGCAAGAAAGTGGGTAGATGGAAGTATTATATTAATGGATCTCTCAAGTTAATTGAAGAAGAGGTGGTTTAGGAGAAAATTAAGGATCACAAGAGGGACAACTAAACTCACGTTTCAAGACTATGCGGCATTAAAACAGGTAATGAACTTGCAGAAGAATCTGTGCTGCGAAGACTTAAGTTGTTAATAACTTCTGGAGGTGGAGATTTGATCGAAGGAGCCTCTGTGAATACAGTAATCGGGGGCTCCAAACAGTGACATTCTCCATCGCCGTTGATTCCAAAATTCAAGAGATAAGAGACTTATTGGCATCCAATGAGATCCAGTTGAGTCACTGTTTTACAGAGGCCAACAATGATTCTCATTGCTTGGATTGAAGGTTACTAAGTTTTTTATTTTTTTCTTCTTTGAATAATGTAGTTGCAAAGGAAATTTGTCAAAATACAAATAGAGCCCACCTTCAAATAGTGTCGAAACATTGGTTTCAATATAGAAAATTTATGTGATAGTCTTAAAATATATTTTCATTTTTATTTATAAAGTTTAATGCTTCAAAAATAGCGTAGATCGGTAGATCTATGAAAACTTAAAAATATTGACAATTGGTGGTCCAAAAATGCGTTATAAAATGCACTATTATCAAAACTTGAAATCCGTTTTTTTTTTCTCATGTTCATGCATCTTGATGCCGAGATGATCAATTTGAGGTAGGCTCTAACTTGATTGTTTAGAGCTTCGGCTCTATATAAACTTTCCCCATTTAAAAATGTACACCAAAATATCGTCACTTGGAATATTTTAAAATGGGTGCAGTTTGTATAGAGCCGAGACTCTAAACAATCTAATTAGAGCTCACATTCAAATAGTATCGAGAAATATAGTTTCAATACTAGAAAGTTTTTTGATAGCCTTAAATTCGATTTTCGTCTTTAGTTATTAAATTTGAAGCTTAAAAAATATTGTAGATCGAGCAGATCTATGAAATCTTGAAAATTGATGGTCCAAAAATATGTTACAATATGTGTCATTTGTAAAACTTGAAATCCATTGTTTTTTTATATCCATGCATCTTGATATCGAGATGATCGATAGGATGATATTTGGGCATCAAAACAACATCTTCTAGTGAAACTTTTTGATATCGAGATGATCAATAGGACGATATTTGAGCATCAAAACAACCTCTCTTAGTGAAAGTTTTGAGGTAGGCTCTAATTTGATTGTTTAGAAACTAAGCTCTATATAAACTTTTCCCTTTTAAAATTGGCAAATGTTAAGCAATTATAATTTATATGTATTTTGATAAATTTCCATAATTGTTCTGGGTAAGTAATTTCCATAGTTATAATGCATATAGAGTACAGTTCAGGTACATTAACGAAATATGCAAAACCAGCGATATGGATCGGGAACTATGATCAGGATTAGCAATTGCTGGGAACCAACACGATTCTCAGTCAGAATTAGGAATTGTTCCAATTTTGGTACACTTGTTTGATTATGATGGAGAACTAGATGAGTTTGTCAAGAAATAGTTGTCAAAATTCCGGGTTTTCATCCCAATTGGGCAAATTTCCAGGTTCCACCCGTTGTGCCTTTATTAATTTGTATTTTTTATATTTACATTAAAATTTTAATATTCAACTTATATTTGAACACATTCCCACGCTGAACGGTGATCTGAATTGGATCAGGTGTCCGATCTAGCCTCCAAAACCAGGTTTTAAAACACCAGGCACAAACGTTCAACAAAAAAAAGAAAAAGAAAAGGGTTGGGATTGGTTGCCAACGAATGGGGGTTAGCAGTGGGAGAGAGAGGGACCGCAAGTAAAAATTGGTGAGGGTTGGGCTTGTTGCTTTTGTCTCACTTTTCAACGACCCTCAATATTCCATCTAAATCTATCGCGAAAGGCAAATCCACCAAAACATTCATCACTCTGTCTTTAATCCGGCAGAAGAGATATATAGAAAGAGAATAACCAAGGTTTCTATGAGGCCTAGGTTTTTTGAAAACAAAATAAAACCTCACCTCAAATCCTAGTTAAAAAAATATTTTAAGGGACGAAAATATCTATAATAGCTCTAAAATCAATTTTCAATGATAACAATAAAATTTGAAATTAAAAAAAAAGAAGATAAAAAATATTTATTTTTAAAGTAAATCTCGATAATTTGTCAGAATCATTTCTAAATCTTAAAATCCAAATTCTTTTTACAATCATAACGTTTTAAGTGTAAAGGTTTTCCAACTTGCAATTTTCGATGAGCTATGAGGTATCGATTTACTCATTTTGATGGGGCCGCAGCCATATAAAACCATTTTCGCCATCCTTGCATACGAAAGAGAAAACTTAGAGAGAGAGAGACAAATCCTGTCTGCCGTCTTCTCCTCGAGGCCCGGCAACAAGTGTACGTCCTCTTACGACACGTGTAGAGATAGGGGGAAGAATCTATCCCATTATTGAAACAACGAGGCCTTGTGGTACGAATTCAGTGAAGCATAAAAAAAAAGTACAGATGAATACAAGGACTGACCGTATACACCCACACTTTCTCTCTCTCTCTCTACCACATTCAGCGCTCTCTCACTACAATACTGAGAAGCCAACTCACTACTGGATATATATATATAACCAAATCCACAATAATCCATTCTCTCTCTAACCCTAACCCTAACCCTAACCCTAACCCTATTTGTAGTCGGTGACCGACACTCCCACGCCGCGAAGCTTCCCTCCAACGTGCCCTCTATTTTATAGAGAGAGAGTTGCAATTACAGTTTAATCAGAGAGAAGTACGATTTCACAACCAATGTTGATAAAGGTCCTTTTAAGTTGAAAGTACGTTTTATTCCTTTTATGTGAATGTTGAAAGAATGGCGGTTTAATCATAATTAATTGGGTGCCATTAGAGTTAGAGATAGGTCTTTGTTTGCTAAAAAATGTAAAGACGCATCTCTAAAATCCTCGTGAAAATCCAACATTGAAATTAAAACCAATGTTTATGGGAAAAAGTTTACCTAAGGATGCAACCTTATAATGTGAAACTACCGATGCACCTCAAAAAATCCATAGGAAAATGTAGTTTTAATGTTGAAAACTGTTTGATTGATTATTTCGACATCGAGATGTATGACCATGAAAAATAAATATAGTGCATTTTACAATATATTATCTATACCATCTATTTTCAAAATTTTCATATGTTTATAGATCTACTTTATTTTAGCCATTATTAAAATTTAAAATTTTATAATTAGATATAAAAATAGATTTGAGATATTCTTAAAAACATTTTACATCAAAATTATATACCATGATAAAATTTGAAGGTGCACCTTATCTTTATAGTTATGGATGCATCCGTATGCCAACTGCACCTATGTTTAAGAAGTCGCATCGGCTTAGTTATTCGGCCTTTGATTAGAGGCATACACACTCAAAAAATTTGAAAAATGTGAAAATAAAAAGTAGTTAAAAATAAAAAATAATAATAAAGTCCATCATAATGCAAAAGATGAAATTTTTTTTTATAAAAAGTGGATTATTAAAAAACTTGAATTATTTAAGTATTATAGAAAAATAAAAAAGATAAAGCATATGAAAGTTCGTAATTTATTTTAAAAACTATCAAAATCAGCTAAAAACATATTTACTTGCAATTAATATAGAGATGACAAGAGAGATATCAAATTTATAAATAATAGATTCGCCATCATACTTATCCCAAACCACAGTAGTGCATAGGGGCGTAGGGAGAGACCAAAATCATCGAGAAGGGAATCCAACACGATAGTGGTGGCAATAGGTTAGGTCAGGTCTGGGTAGACCCACCCGACTAGGCCTAACTTGGAGCAGGACTCCAAGTCATTCGTATCAAGACCCGATCCACCGGTCAGTGTGTTTTTGGGTCTAGAAATTTTAAAATTATTTTATATATCGTACAACTAGTTAAATTAGTTAGTTGGGTTGGGAGCCAACTAACTGGTTAGTCTCCAAGTAATTTGGACCGAACTTAATCCGATGGGTTTGACGCCTCGATCCCGACCCAAGCCCCAGATCTAGAGCCAGATCGGGACCAAGTTTGGTTTGACTGCTAACCGGCTCGGTCCCGACCCGATTGCCACCCCTATAGCATAAGTTGAGGAAAATGCCAAGTAATGAGAATCGAAAAAATTTTTAGAGAGAAAAAAAAAATAAAAATAATAATAATAAAAGACAGAGCGGGAGAAGGGGAGGAGAAGAACAGATGTTAGTGAAATAACAAGCTGGCATTGCCCAATAATTTAAGCACCTGTGACCCGCTTCCCCATACCTAACTACACTTATTATCGAGTGGCGAGAGAAGAGAGAGAGAAGGGTCTTTGTCCAACACTAACAGCGAGATTTTGAAGAGTGGGTCCTCTCTCTCTCTCTCTCTCTCTCTCTCTCTCTACTCTACTACTACGTACGTACGTACGTACGTACGTACTACGTACTACTAACTACTAACTACCTACCTACCTCTACCTACCTACCTACCTACCTAACC